GTACAAAAGATACTTAAGGAACAAAAAATGAACCAAAGAAAAATTTAAGATAACTAATGTGGTGTTGATTAAGATGGCATGTGCGGAATATGAAAGATCTAGTGAATCAACATATAAAATCAAGAACACAAGGAGTAAATAAATATGTGTAAGCTCATATTAGATCTAGAAAGATTATACAAATGGGTTTGTACACAATTTCTCTCTCTAGTATAACACTCCAAATGGTTCCTTACCTAAAATGAGTGTCACTCACTTCCTTATAAAGGAAAAGCAACTCAGTCCATACACAAGTGGGTAAAGCCTCATCCAAGCAAGACTTTGCACCCTAACATTCTCCCCCTCAAAGTTAGGATTGGATGCTCCGGCTTCAATATCCAACGAGCTAGAGCGATCAAGACCAAACTCCCCCTCGAAGTAACACTAGTCTTCAAATCTGCAAATGAATATCCGAAAAACTCGAGAAGCTTTGAATACCCATCATTCTCCCCCTTTTTATAATAAAAAAATGATTATAAAACCCATTAAGGGTGAGAAGCGCTCGAGGAATGAAAAATACCATACTCCTCCTTGATGTGTACCAAAAATGAATCACCAAAAATCTTGCGCCGAAAAACAATCATGAAAAAGCCACAAAAAATTTCCAAATTATGAAAATTTTTGACTTTTCAGGTGAAAGTTGCAAGATTTGCCAACAAAACTGGTAGAAATTTTCACTTTCTGAAACTTGTAGGGACACATTGCGCCAAAAACATTCAAATATGTGAAACTCTATCCCATTTGCGGAATTGGGCATAAAGTGTAATTTCGCACAAACTGCAGGGACCAAAATTGCACAATCTTCAATTTCCAGCAAATATTAGTCATTTTTCGAAATTGGGTGCAAACTGCCAAAAATTTGAAGCCTCAGGGACTATTTTTGAAAATTTTACCTTTGTGCACCAATCATACAAAGCATCCCAAAATATACGAAGCTCCAAAATATTTTCAAATTTTGGTGAAAAGTATCAAACATACGAAACTTGGGTTAATTTTCAAAGTGACAAAATTTCAAAGGTTGAGGGATCAAATTCGAAACATTCCATTTTCTTTCAATTCATACGAAGCATACGAAACCTCACTTATGAACATTAACGTCTTTGTATGGAATTTCTTTTACCCAAATACCCCTTCGAATGAATGTCCAAAATACCGTTCGTACAAAATTTTAACATCCTTCGTACGAAATTAACTTCACCCATCATACGAAATTTTCAACATGTCGTTTCTTGTTCTACACAAACAGGACCATTCGAACAATCCCAATTCAAGATCTATTCTTCTCCAAATCAAATTTGATTCCAGTTCGTCCCAAAACTATCGATTTGCAACTCCAAAATCATAAATCATCGATTCCACGTGTTTCGATTGTACATCTTTCCAACCACAATCAATACTCAAAAATCAAAAGCATCAACAATCCCAAATCAAATACTTTCGCACATCGACCCAAGAACAAAAATCTTCGAAATCAGATTCCCAATCCTTCATTCACTTTTTCATCACCACGAATTGTCATCAACCCCAAATAAATTCCAAAATCAAGTTCCAAAATCGATTGTAAACCAAAACTTCAAACATCGGCTTCCAAATTTGAGCTCTCCAATTGAGTTTTCCAAGTGAGTTTTCATTGCTCAATCAACAATCAATATCCAAATCAAAATCCAAAAACAAAACTGCAAACTAAACTTCGATTCCATCTTCATCATATTCAGTTGAATTTTGACTTTTGTTCCACTCATGTTGACTTTCAAACGATTATCCAAAATCAAATCAATTCAACATCAATACTCAAACAATCAACACTTTCATTTTCAAATCAACCTTAATCGAATCCAAAATCGTGAATAATCAACCTCAAATGTTTCGATTGCAAAGAATCAACTAACAAAATCAATCAAAAAACTTCATCAACGATAATAATCTAAACAATTTCACTACTTTCGTTACTCATTATCAGACTTCAATCGTTCCTAATGCCAAGTCGATGTTGATCATATCAAACAAATACACTTGTCGATGTACAGTTATAATCGATCTTAATCTCCATACTTTCGATTCCAATTTTTCAAGTACAGACGCCTTTTTAGTGTAATTGAGAATATTGACTCAAAAATTCAATAAGAAATGAAATTTTCGATCATTAATTTGGGCTAGAAATCCAATCTTGAGTGAATAGTGAGAGAATTGGACTGGGCTTATGGAATTGATCAGTAATGGACCAGAATTGTTTTGGGCTTTGAAAAACAAATTATTTTGATGAACAGTGACACTTCGAATTTTAAAAAAAAGTGAATATTATTTTGATTTTGAGTTGATCAAAAAAAATTGGATCAATTAATGGGGTTGAAACGGATTTAATCCAATGAGGCAAATCGATTAAAAATGAAAAACGTAAACTATGAATCGAAATCATGGACGTTTTGGAATCCATTTGAGAATTTGAGATACCTTTTTGACGAATCGAGATCCATTTTCAACAAACGAATCAAATTTGGAAGATCTTGGTTCTTTTGTCGAAATGAGAAAATTTCTGATTTGAACATTGTACCACCCATTATGTGAGATGTACAACTCGTTCTTCGTGTTCTTCATCGATACAAGAACATCTTCAAATGAACCTCCAACACTCTTGGGTTTTGTCTTCAAATTCAATGCAACGCTTAGAGATTGGTGCTTTGGAACCCAAATTTTCTTCACGGATTTAGATTTCACAACAATATTTGACGATTTTTGTGAATAAACCCGCTTGTTCTTTCGTTTAATCTTCTTCTTCTTTTTCTTTCTCATCTTTTTGCATCTTGAAGACTTGACTTCATGAACAAACCCACTTTCCACAACTTGAACTTTGTGAGTTTGAATCAAATCTTTTGGAGTTTGATACTTGTGAGCTTCTTGAATCACCGGCTTCCGATACGAAATCATTCCTTCAAACGAATCACAAGAACACACAATATCATCGGTTTGAACTCCAATTGAGCAAAAAAAATTCATCTTGAAAATCAACTTGAACTCCATTTTCTTGAACATCAAGAACATCACATTGAACTCCATTGTCAAGAACTTCAACAAACTTAGAGCACGAAGATCATTTGGGTCTTCAATAAGAGAAACATATTTCTTATCGAACAAATATTTTTCTTCTCTATTCTTATCATTACTACTAGTTTATATGGACCATGTAAGATTAGCCAACCATTTGATCTCACAAAGTGGTTGAAATTTCAAGCTTCCATGATCATCCTTCAATCCTCCATAAGAAACCATAGTTTTCCAATATATCAACTTGTTTAACACCAACCCATAATATTGATCTTTATTCACTTTGTATTTGATATCTTCAATGATCACAATCCAAGAATTGTAAGGCAAATTCACCATGATCACAAAAACTTGAAGATTTCTACAGAGAGAAAGTAATTTCGAATGGGTTTTCAAGAGAGAGAAAGAGACACTAACAAGTATTCTAGAGAGAGAAAGTCGAATTATGGATCAAATCAAGGAAAAATTTGACTTCTAGAACACACAACATTCTCTAATAACGAAGATCAATAAGAACATGAAGAATCACCCGCTCTGATACCAATTGATGTGGTGTTGATTAAGATGGCATGTGCGGAATATGAAATATCTAGTGAATCAACATGTAAAATCAAGAACACAAGGAGTAAATAAATTTCTGTAAGCTCATATTAGATCTAGAAAGATTATACAAATGGGTTTGTACACAATTTCTCTCTCTAGTCTAACACTCCAAATGGTTCCTTACCTAAAATGAGTGCCACTCACTTCCTTATAAAGTAAAAGCAACTCATTACACACACAAGTGGGTAAAGCCTCATCCAAGCATGACTTTGCACCCTAACAAACACAAGTAATCTTTTTATTTATTTTTATAAATATGGATATATACGATCAAACTTTACATCAATGGGGCTCCAATCATTAATACCTAGGAGACCATCCTGCTACCTTCCACATATCACAGACTCCCAAAGTAACGAAGACCACGAAACGGTGTAATCCAATAATCCAACCACAGTTTTATTTAAACTTCATACCTTAATAGCTTTTGCGAGCGAAAATAACATAGTTCGGGATCTCATATCCTTAAGACTAGATGGTCAAGAATCAAAATCGACACATCCTTAAGAGCATGTCACGGCGAATCAGCTTTTGCTGAAACAGTGAGCCCACCCGAAGGGGCCTAGCTCCTATGCTTTCACTTTTTCGAGAGCCACAAGTATCATATCACACAGTTATTCATTCGCCAGATTTGACTTTGAGGTGGCTTTTGATTTTGATTGAACTTGGATTTGAGCTTTGAATTCTTCAATCAGCTTTTGAATTTCTGAAAGTTCCTTCAGTTAAGTGCTTGATTTTTTTGTTGATTTAGGTACTGGATATATGACAGTTATACCCATTATTCTTTCTTGACTATGTGGATCTGATACTTAAGCTCTATGTTACCGCGAGGGTAACGCGCGTCAACAAATAGATCCGTGGTCTGTGGGTCCAGAGTTGCCAATAAATATTCTTTTAAAACATTCAGAAGCTAATCATCCTAAAGTTGTTATTACCGCCCACAAAAACGTTTCAATATGCCATTTTTTTATTATCTAAGGCTGGGGTCTCGAATTACGGTATTTAGGTCCCCTAGTTATGATATCTGATTCTACACTTCCGGTAACTATCCGGTCACTTCAGTATTTTTTCATTTAAGTTCTCGATTTCCCACTTCATGGAGCTATTGTATGTAAAAAATGTCATCATCTCGTACACCTTTTTTTTTGAAAATGCATGCATGAATATGAAATGCAAAAATGATAAAATGAAAAAACTTAAAATAATTTTTTTTTAAAATGCATGCATGAATATGAAATGCACCTAATGTACAACTCTACCCCTCCTCAAGCTTAAAGATAATCATCGTCCCCGATGCTTGGAGAGGGCGGAACAACCTATTGTGGAGGAGGACGAGGATACGGGTAATAACCGGAGTTTCGAGTCCAAGCCCAAAAGTCCTCCTCATGTTTACACTGGCGCTCTTGATCCCGAGTGTATTGAGTGGTGAAAGAAGAGAAACTTTGAGTCAGGCTCGCGAGATCTTGATTCAAAGTGTTGAGGCGAGTATGGATCGATTGGAATTGATCCATATATTCCTCGTGATATGATGGTTTTCCAACATGGTGGGATGAGCTAGCACCACCCATGGGAGGGGAGTTTTTTGGTGTCGCCCCATCACTCTCCTCACCTTCCTCCTCTTCGTCCTTGGAGAAGGATTCGGTGAAGAGATATGGTGTGATTTTCCAGTCGATGAAATTGTTATGACGCTGGAGGGAAAGGATGCCTCAGTTCTTGGGGGCAATGAGGAGCCTTGGATCGTGGTTTTGACCCACGGTCCAATTATGGTTCCTATCCTCCGCCCGAAACATTCTCATAGACTCAAGAACTCCAGTGGTAAGGTAGGTCTCACCGGGTATGGGTTGGTGAGTTCTGGGATATGGGGCCCGGATTGGAGCACTTTTGGAAAATAAACTGACAAGGCCACCACAAGATATTTTGCCGGACCGTGATGTGCTGAGGCGGGTGAGTTTGTTACAATGGAATGAGCCATAGTGAGGAAGGAGATTATCGTCCGAGTGGGCCATCACATAGAGTATTTTGAGCTCAAGGGTGCTAATGGTGCTTCTTTCTTCTCTAGGGACGACAAGTGAAGCAATAATCCTATGGGCCACTTTCATCATAGGGTGGATGAGAGATGAGGCCTTAGCAGTACTTGAGACATAGGGAAGCTGACGCGTAAGGTCGGTCGACCACGTAAGATCACTGTATCCTGGGATTGGGTCATTGGGGCCAAGGGTGTGTTCTGTAGGGGCCCCAACTATGGCATTGATTTGGTCTAGGGACAAGGAATGATCGTGGTTCATAAGCCGAAAACATAGGACACCGTGGTCCAAATCAAGTGAAGATAAGAACTCGTTTGTTGGAACTTTATAGCTGAGCTTGTGGACCCTTAACAACCCCTGCCATCCAATGTTCCGGAACAATGTGTGGACTTGGTTGTAGATTTGCAACTCACAGAGAGATGGCACATATGCGAATTGTTGGGTAGAGTGCACGCGCTGAAGAAAGGCCTCAAGTTTGGCGGCTTGAATTGGACCACGACAAACCACACCACCATGTGTTGGATTGGGTGGAGATAAAGGTGGGGGTGACGGGGACCTAGGCGGACGCGATGGGGACCTAGGTAGAGGCGATGGGGACCTACGACAGCGGGCCGACGATTTGGTGTGCCGATGTCGTTTAGAACTCTCACCTTCCATATGCAAAATTTGGGGAATAGTCAAAAAGTCAATCGGTCAACGGGTCAAAAAGTCAACTGTTGATGGGTCCAGTTAACACGAATTTGACCACCAAAACTTCTTGGGGAATTCGGTTCTTAGTGATTTCTAAGTGATTGTCAAGTCCAATACGACCAAAATGCATGCAATTTGACCTTACAAACACAAAATCCACAAGTGAAGAGTTGGAAAGATTTTACCGAATCGTTAGTGGAAATGCATTGTTGTTGATGAGAAAGACCTTCTTCAACCTCCTCACTTATTCTTACAAGTGACAGCTTGGGTCTGAGTTCTATCATCCATCAGTTCAGGCATGTCTCCTCACTTATTCTTACATGTGTGGTAGAATAGTTGTATATATACATGTGATGACCAGCTGGGTCTAAGTGCTATTACTGTTAATGTGTTGTTTATATGTGTGGAGACTTCAGGTAGTCTTCAAATTTGCTAATAACCCATGGGACGTGCTGTTGGCCATTGAGACTGCGGGTAGTCTCTAGGGTTACTGATAACTCATATTTGTTTTATGTGTTATTCTATATGTGATATCTTGGGGATTTCACTAAGCTCTATGCTTATAGTTGTTGATTAAATATGTATCAGGTACTTTTGAGGATTGCGGGTGTAGTAACCCATTCTGATGATCGGCTTGTGCAGAATAATAAGATCTTGAGATTTATCGATAACAAAAATATGAAGAACACAATAATATGAGTAATCCAATGAATTTAATAGAAAGGGAGGTTACAAATTTGAAGAACACTTCGGTGGGAGAAATCCTAACCGAGAGTTTTACTATTACTAAAACAAAAGACTACATTTTAGGTACACAAATAATAAATGACCATCCCTCTTTATTTAAAGGGAGAGATAACTTACAAACAATAAAAGGAATTAAAATAACCTAACTATCACTCATAATTTATGGAGCATTTCCATGCTCTAACAATCTCTCCTGAAATGCTCACAAATGATGAGGGATACAAATACAGTGATAAAAGGCTAAAATACATAGTAACCAACTAGCGAATGCGGTAACAAAGTGACACATAATGAGAACCAAATGCTGAAATGTATCTGAAACTCTGAAGTCTCTGTGATGTTTGAAACTCGGCAATGAAATCTCTATAGTTAAAGTCTTCTAAGCAACAAAGTCCATCATCTTCGATGTTGAAGAGTGAGATTCTAGTCTATAGATGTGATCAGTGAACCAAGTTGATCAACTTTAAACATGTATCATAATAACTTCTGAACTGAACATCCCGTAATCAAGCCACAGTTTGAATTCAAAAGTCTAAAATGTCTCTAGTTCTCGAATCATAATATACCTAAAATTCTTCAAAAGAATAACCTACTACAAATATGAAAACATCTTGTGGTAGAGCTGGAATAATAAATAACTCTGGATCTAGGAATAGAAGTTGCATTGATCCACAGGCAAGGATCACACTTAAAACTTCAGTCAGAACTATCATCTTGATGTTGGTTTGACTAAACAAGTAGATGATAAGCCAAGATCAATTAGCAAGACAAATACTAAATGATCTCCTTTTTCTAGATATCTTCAAAATCCACACTCTAAAAAACATAACCAATAATCTGGATGCTCATAATATTCTCTCCCTATTTTTTATAACCAATGTCAGGATATCAAAAATAAGTAAATAAATCTGGATCGAGTGTGACACCCATTTTCTAGGATGAATTGAATTAGGGTTTTGAGGAGTCAAAAAGGTTGGATTTTAGAAGAAAAGAATCCTCACGGCCTAAGATTGGAGGCTCATGACATGAGATGGGTTACATGAAAACTTTTGTTTCGGACTGATCTCACGACGTGAGACATGAAGCTCATGATGTGAGAGCTGATGCAACCAAATCCCATGATAATTTTAGGGCTTCCTTCATATTTAAGTATCTCTAAACTCATTTTAGGGTTTCTTATCAGCCCCAAACCCTCTTTCACCTCACAAAAAGCCCAGTCTTCATTCTTGCTTAATATTTGGTCATTTTGGAGCTTTTCCTGGTTTGGAAGAAGGAGAAAAGAAGAAGAAGAAGAAGAAGAAGGTGATCTTGAGTTGAGGCTTGCAAGGAATCTTTATCATCATTATCTTACATTGTTTCTGGATCATTGTAAGTATCAAAGATTCCTCCTTTATTGTTATATGAGGCTAGATCTAGGTTTTATCCCACTTTTCCTCTTGGTTGTGCATGTTTGATGAATGGAAACCATAAATTTGGCAACTTTATGTGTTATTAGGGACTTAAGAGTAATATGGAGTTCAGATCTAAGGAATGGCTGAGTTTTGGAACCTTGTATGAAAGTTGGATTTCTTTTCTTCAACTTTTGACCCAAAGGAGATCTAGACATGTATTGGACATATATGTCTTAAAAGTATTGACTTTCCAGTGCATTATGGAGTTATAAGACCTTCTTGAAAGTTAAAGTTCAAGGCTTAACGGATTATGGACTTAAAAGTCGGACTTTTGGCTTCACACTCATATCACGACGTGAGACATGGAGCTCACAACATGAGGATTGAATGACCCCGTTTATGGTTAGCTTCTTGGAGCTTATGATGTGGGTGGAGGCTCTCACAATGTGAGGTCAGCTACTATGAGTTTTCATGTTCGAGTTGACGGAGTTAAGTTGGGATGAGTTGGAATTGGACCGAGTGAGATCTCACGACCTGACCAAGACTGGTCACGGCGTGAGGATGGATAATTATCATTTTGGGCCTGTAATTGGGCTTTTAGTACCATTAAGTTTGGGACTTCGTCTTTAGGGCAGTTGATGGGAAGGTTAGACTAGTCTTTTACCCTAGGAGTCGGGATTAGTGAATTAAGTCCCGATCATGGTTATGAACTAATTATTGATCATGATTGTATTTGATCGGTTAGCATGAAGATTCTCTAGTCCAATAGCTCGAGCATCTGTTGGATTGTCAGCAGACTAAGGTGAGTTTCCTCCACTTTATCCGTGGGTCAAAGGCACCAATTCCGACCCACTATATTATGTTTGTAGAATGATGATTGTCTTCCTGACAATTACCTGTTGTTGTTATGCTAGTATATGCTTGTTGTCTTTGTGATTTATGATTATATGCTAGTTATAGGGGGTGAAATAGACCCTGTACCGGTTTAAAGATATCGAAGGGGTGAAATGGACCCAATATCGGTTTAAAGATATCGAAGGGGTGAAATAGACCCAGTACTAGTTGAAAGATACCGAAGGGGGTAAAATATACCCAATACCGATTGAAAGATACCAAAGATGGTCAAATAGATCTAGTACCGATTAAAAGATACAGAAGGAGGTGAAATAGACCAAGTATTTTGACTGTTATGTATGTGTAGTGTGGCATATTTTAGGGGAGCTCACTAAGCTTTGTGCTTATAGTTTTCAATTTATGTTTCAGGTACCTCCAGCTCGTGAGGGAAAGGCCCGACTTGATCGTACCGCATCTGCCCATGTTTTCCGCATTTACGTGATTTTGGGATTTATACTCTGATATTATTACATTATGATACACTTTTGGTTGTTTTGACATGGTTATTGGATGTTTTGAAACGAATTTAAAAAATGAAAAATTTATCTGAAATTTTGGGATGTTACATGGAGAGTGTTGGATACTAAGAGATTCACGTGCTCTCCCTGGATGTATGAAGGGTCTCGATAAAACACGAGAATGAGAGTAAAATAAGACTCTCTGTTCATCTGTAGCTGGATGATTCTATCACTGAAGACTGTCTGAACAAGTATCGAAGTAACAATAAGAACTCTGCATGAAAAATCTTTGCTCTGCTGAAAAATGCTGATATACCAAAACTATGGTGTCGGAACTCCTGAAGTGGTCTTCGATAAATAAGGTCCACTTGCTCAAGACACATGGTTCGTCAACCGAGAAAGAATATTAAGAAATAATTTTGTTGATTAGACGCAACTGCGGTGCTAACTTTGCGAAGAGAATTATGATGCCCGACTGCGGTATGGAGGATAACTGATCATAAAACAATGATCCAATGAATGTTGGTTGACGGAGCTAGATTAAAGGTAAGTCTTCATTGAAAGAATAATAAGATTCTTCCAATATAATCATCAAGAAGTAGTCCATTGTGACGATCAAATCTTGAATAAATCTCTAATAATAATCTCTTTTGCGAAGACAATAAATTGAGTCTTGCAAAAATCATTCTTCACAAAAGTGCTTCAGATCGTGGGTTGTAGTGGTAAAAATTGGTGTTAATAAAAATAATTGGTTTTAAAAATAGAAAATAAATTTGTATTAAAAAAAATTGGTGTAAAAAATAAGTATTAAAAAAATAATGTGTTTTATAAAATAAATGGGTGTTAGTTTAAAAAAAAGGCTAAAAAAGATTACGATATAAGAAAAGGGCACGCACGCAAGGGGGGGGGGGGTATGTTTTTGAGAATAGAAGAATAAGGGTTACTGAATGAGAGGGTAGCAAGGTCTAAGAGGGGCTAGGATAGAGGGCTGAGTATAAGAGGCGATGAAGGAAGGGCTGAGGAAGGAGGAGGGCTATGGTGAAGGTGAGGAGATGGTGGCTACCAAAGAGTAGAGATATCCGGTGAGAAGGTTGTATAGATACCAAAGAGTGAATGTATTCAGTGAGGGTTGCGAAGAGGTAGTTTGATTGTTAATAGATAGGGTTCTTCGCTATGCGGGGATTAGAACGGAGGTTGCGAAAGGGAAGGGTGTGCGATATGCTTTAGTCTATAGTATACGGAAGTAGCGGTTGTAGTATCAGGTCTTCTGTGCAAAGTCTTCAGTTTGCGAGAGACAAAAGACGTTGCACATAAGAGGACCTCCAACATACTTCGGTATGGCTTAACTTCTCAGTAAGGCAATGTCTTCAGTCGGATTTTGGTCTTCGGTTCTGGGCACCGAGGAAGAGAAGACTGATGGCGAAAAATGTCATTTTTTCATGAAATTTGATATCGAAAAGGCTATAACTTCGTGTTA